ATTATACCCTCCCATGATACCCTATACTTTTGCTTTGATAGCACTTTAGTTACATGTCCAAGCTAGACTGGAAGCATCCTGAACACAGGACCTTTTTCTGTCTTGTTTACATCATCACCCTAGTCCCTAGCACCAGATTTGGCCCATAGCATGTATTCATTCCATCAATACTTATTTAATCAACTGTACTTTTCACCTTAGAGTTTTCTAATCTTCACTCCCATCCTCACCCCAGCATACTCTCCCTTCTAAATGTACTGGTTTAATAGCAGAGAATATTAGTTAAATATTGAAAGTGTTTGGCCTGGAAAGATAGTCATAATTCCCTTCCTGGAAAACTGGGCGTGGTGTCTCTCTGTCTCTCTCCCTTGTGGAAAACAGCTCTCATCTTCAGGATACTGGAGCAGGTGACCAGGTGTCTCTCAGCTTATTCTGCTGGCTCTCAAAGCAGAAGGTCCCCAAGATTATAAAGAGAAAGGGAAAGACTAGATTTTTGTTTTTCATAGGCAATCAGGGAAGTTGGTCATGGTCATATAGTGAGCAAAGTCATGAGGGTTCTCATAAAATAAACTGAATGGAGGTTACAGAATTACAGGTGCAGCATGACGTGTAAAGGTTGCCCCCGAGATTTTTCTCATTGCTTTCCTTTTATGAGAAAAAAAATGCAGCTCACAGTATGCAATAATTGGAAGTTTGACACTGAAACTATTTGTTTCCTCATCTGTAAAATGAGAAAGTTGAACTAAGTGCCCTCTAAGCTGCTCTGAAACTCTGTAACCTTATTCTGAGCCTGTATAAGAGCTGTTCACAAGAACTTCTAGGTTTCTGAAAATACATTACTCTTGAGGACATCAAAGATTTATTGGAAGGTTTTAAAAAATATATAAACACCTTCATGAACTTGGCAAAGAATCAGGTGAAGAAAAGTGTGGATTTTCAATCTGCCAACAACGGTGCCATTCTAAAGAGTTCAAAGGTCAGCATTTTAGTACTCACACACAACTACGTAAAGACTAGAAGGGCTGAAGCCTTCAGCAGCAGCTTTTGAACTTTGTGTCATTGCTCAGAGGCAAAAATGAAATACCTGCCTAACTGCAAAAGATTAAGTAGCCAAGACCTTTTTAAAAAATAAATAAAGGTACCGTGTGATACTTGGTATTATTAGTAGTAAATATTTACTCCCTTCAACATTCCATCATGGGTCTTCACTTTCCTCCCCCATTGATGTTGGGTTGCTTTGGCCACTGAAATGTTTGTGGACATGAAAAACATTGTGCTTTCCTCCATTTAGCTTCAGTCTTTTGCACTGGTCATCTGCCGTGAGATACCCTGGGTAACTACTGTCTGGAGTCCAAAATAAAAAATATGGAGCAAATGTAAGCTAAATTCACAGACCCTCCCAGCTGAGCTCAGCCTAACTCAGCTGAATCACAGTTGATCTGCAGACCTTTGAGCATGAGAATAAATGCTTGCTGTTTTAAGCCACTGAGTTTTGAGGTGATTGTTACACAGCATTATTGTGAAAAAGCTGACTAATACAAGATGCAGTGCAGTGTGGGTTCTCATGAGATATAACATGACGGTTAAGGTATGGTTTCTGAAATTTGGCACATCTTGGTTTGAATCTCACTTCTGTTATTTACTAGATGTGAAATGTCATGCAATTGACTTAACCTCTCTGAGACTCTGTTTTCTCATCTGCAAAATGAAGATAATCACCAACCTCATAGCACTGTTGTGTAGATCAAATGACCTAATACAAATCAAGCAGCTAAGACAGTGCCTGGTACATACTGAGGAGCCAGTAAATGTTTGCTATTATTAACAATAATAATTATTATAATTTCTATAAAATAAATCTTACTTTCCTGTTAACTTACATTATAAAACTAGATATAAAGACTTATTTGGAATATTTGGTGAAGAAGGATGAAGAAGATAAGTATTCTACCTCATGGCTGATAAGTTCATATGATATTAAAAAGGTACATTGTCTACCAAGCAAGCGTGTCTGTGTGTATAAAAGAGTTTTGAATTACTTTGTAACAATTTCCCAAATCTGAGCTCTTTTTACAGACAGAATTTACATTTCCATGTCCCCAAGTCTGGGATATGAAGTGCGGTGTCAAGTACTAACAATCTATGTCTGACTCTACACTCTCAGCACCCAGAATTGTTCCTAAGAGTTCACATCTAATAAATAGTACATTGCTGTGGTTCCTTGCTTTCATGTATTTAACAAACATTTATTAAGTACTAGGTATTGCACTAGGTACTAGAGGTAGAGAGATAAACAGACATGGTCCTGTACTCATGGCCATCATACTTTAGCTACAGGTTGCAAATCTGTTTCACTCTGGTGTCAACTCAGGGATTTAGAGGGGCTGCTCAGAGCACTAGTTGAAAACAATTCTAGGCAGCACTTGATCTTAGTGGGGAAAAGAGTCATGGGTTTGGAAGGAGGGAATGGTTTCGAATGTTTGCTAATCCAGGTTTTGCTGGGGACAGACACATATACAACAAAATATAATTTAATGCAGTAAATGCTATTTGTGAGATAAGAACAAAGTGGCATCGCACACAGAGCAAGGAGTAATTAATTTTGCCAGGAGTGGAGTGGAGTAAGGAAAGGCTTAATTGAAGAGGTGAAATTGTAGCTGGGCTTTGGTGGATGACCAGGAATTTAGTAGGTGATGAAGTGGGAAAAGATGGTTTCAGGCCAAGAGCACATCATGAGCAAAGGCACAGAGGTATATTAGTACATGGGGTGTTGAGGGAACAGTGAGTAGTCCTGTTTGGTTAGAACATGGGGTGTGGGGATGATGCTGGTAGGAATGAGTTACAATAGGGGGTTGGGACCAGTCTGTACTGCTTTATTGTGTAAGCCACAGGAATCCCCGAAGGCTTTTCAGTTAGAGCATGATGTGGCCAAATATGTGTCTTTAAATGGTTACTCAAGAAGAACTAGATTGGAGATAAAAAGAGAAAGAGACAAGCAGCAGAGAGGAGGCTATTGCAGTTATGCAGACAAGGGACCTGGGCATTTAAACTAGGGTGGTGTGGAGTGGGGGCCGAGAGAGAGGAAATAACATCATCAAATAGCACAAGGATGCTCTTCTCTCAAAAATGACCTAGTATTAGGGCTTCAATCAATATAAAGCAAATTTAATGGTCTAATTTTTTCATAGCTCTTGTTCTAATGTTACTGTTTGAATATGTCATTAAATCGCACATATAAAGGGAGCCAGATTTTAAAATTTATCCTTGAGTCAAACCTGTAAAGTAGGTACTAAAATTTCCATTTTACAGAGGAGAAAACTGAGGCCCCGGGATTTAAAAAGCCCGCAATCAGTGATCTTAGACTACACATCTTCTAAATGTCAAAGCTAGCATTTGAACCCAGGGCAACTTGACTCCAGAGTCAATGTTCTTAATCACTATTCTATACCATGTGAACAATTAATTCTCCAGTGTTATGGTCCATTTCCACTAATTGTTAAATCTCTCATATACCTCCTCTTTTCAGTCTGATATATCTTGACCCAGGAGACAAGCCAGTGAGTATCAGAGAAGTATTGAAGGCAGGAGAAAAGTACCTCTGAAATACTCCAAATAACTTGGACTTGAAGTCAAAGAAAAACTATTGATTTTTTTTTTCCTGAGTACTTGAGAGATTTGTCAAGTAATCTCAAATCTCTTATTCTGTGGGAATCAATGCATTAATCAATCCACAGGCACTGTACCTAGCACTGTGCTGGGGGAATAAATCACCCTTGACTCAGTCCTCATTAGAAACACAGGGGAAAGAGCCCAGGACTGTGAGAGAGGAGACATAGTTGGGAGCCCTGGCTCTGCCATGAACCTGCCCTTGGCCTTGGACAAGTCACTTCACCTTTCCAGGCCTTCCTTTCACCATTGGAAATAGCCCCAATGATGGCAAATGTCCTTATCATTCCTACATTTTTGTACCCGCCTTACAGGATTAATTGAAGGAAAAATAAAAGAGCAATTAGTATCGGACAGAAAATTGTGGTACTAAAACACACTAAATTGCACGACTGTTTTAGCAATCACTTGGCGTCTTCTGAAACAGCCTCCTAAATATGCAGGAAGAGTGTTTATCATTCCTACTCCTGTGGAGCCTGACACGTCACCGAGAGAACAGGCTTTACAATGTCGCGCTTTCTCAAAAATTGCTGCATTTGAAATCTTGCGGGATATTTAAAACTTGTTTTTAGAGGACCTGAGGCACTTTGAGTTTCTCAATGCTTTATCCTTCTTTCCTTTTCATCTTGCCTGGAGAATCCCCAGTGGTGATTTTTAAACATAACTTATGTACTTCATCGAGGTCTTTGGAGTTTGGAGAGTGCAGAGTTTCCTCTGAGGCAAAATATTTTGAACAGTGGCTGCATGGGCTCACTGTTTCCTGGAGCTAAAGACTGCAAATCGATTTCTGCAGCCCACTTCTTCCAGAAGGAGACGGTGGGGGTGAGTGGGAACACGAACTTGCTTTGTCCACCTAAACAGCGCCGTCAGATTTCTCAGTCATCCTCTTGGCTTTCGGAGGAATTGCAGGAGCAATTGTTGAGCCTCGCAACAGTGAGATTCCACTGCCTTCCAGCTCTAACAATCAAGAGACAAGTCTCCAGAGAGCACAGGCTCCAAGCAGTTATTAGAGATGATGGCATTACCGGAGCGCTGGGGCCGCCTGCCCTGCCCTACAAAATAAACGGTCCTCTTACGGCTTCACACTATGCTTTACTCCCTATATTAACACAGGAGCTGACGGATCGGGTGAGAAGCTGCAACTTGTATTTTGGAGGGCATAAGAGATGATTGTGCTCGTTCTAATTCCAGAGCTGATCTTTTTAGCAGATTATGATGGATGACTCTCCACGGTGGTCAGCGCCTCCTGTATATATTTTAGGTGGAATGCTTTCTTTTGACACATACTTTACAGAGACATAAGTGTATCCTATTTTAATTAATGGAAGAAATGATTCATTCACAAGTGGAAGGTTTAATTAAAGAAAGGGTCAGCATGGGTCAGCCATGAATTGCAAAATATCTCTGATGTTTATTATACTCTCCACCAACTCTGCATGCTGTCTGGAGTGGTACACGGCAGTAAAGGCAGGCCCTGGAAAGAAAGAAAATGAAGTTTAATTGATTCATTCATTCAACAAATATTAATTGAGCACCTACTGTGTTTTAGGTGCTGTGCTAGGCTCTGCAAATAAAATGGTGAACAATCAGACATGATTTTTTGCACTTATGCCAGGGACAATGCAGTTGGGGGCACAAGAAAATTGAGGAACAAACAAATAGAACACTATTAATAAAGATGGTAACATGTTTTCTGGAAAAAATCATTTGGGGCTCTTCTCCTTGCAGTGTTTGGGTATTGTTTTTTAAGAATTTTAATACCCCACTTTACAGTGGGTACATTTAACTTTGGAATATATCTCTGAAGCCAATCTGACCCAAGTCTGCTAGATGAAGTATCTTATTCTTAGAAGCAGCAGTTATACATACTGAGTTACAAAATATGTAGCTTGTCACAGTAGCTCCTTCCTATGAGGAGAGAAACTTTATGCTTTAGAATCAGACAAGCCTGGATTCAAATCCCGGCTTCTCAGCTTAATCGCTTTCTGGTCTGTGATATTACTTTGCTTTTCTGACCTCAGTTTCCTCGTTTACAAGGAAGAATAACAATACATAAGGCATTGAGTCATGTGAAAAAATACATGAGTAGTACCTAGGGCATAGCATTCTTATTAATCAGCATTAATATTTGTAATTTATCTTCTTACATTATTATTAATAGGAGTAATATTTTTCCCTCTCTTTTGCAACTTTCTTGATTCTATGTTTGTTCTGGTTGTTCATGTTATTTTCTTATCCCCTCATTTGATGACAGAGGTCATAATTTTTAAAGCACTGGACCCAGTCTGATATATGCTTAGTGATCAATAAGTAACTGTCGAATGAACGGATAAAATTCTCTCTCTTTTTGGAACTGGGTAGAGAATAAGCTGATAGTAAACAAAGTCTCTCAAAGGCTTCCCATAACACTTGGAATAAAGTCTATATTCCTTATCATGGCAAACAGGAACCAACATGCCCTGACCTTTCCAGTCTCATCCAACACCATTTTCCCTCCTGTACTCAGCTTGAGCCACCAGCCTTGCCTGGAATGCCCTTCCTCTAGAACTGTGCATGGCTCACTCCTTCCAGATCTTCAGCTCTCTGTTCAACTATTTTCTCTTCCTGGAGACCTTCTCTGACCACCTTGCCTATTCATTTTCTATCTCCTCACCCTGCTTCACTTTTTCTCAAAGCATTATCACTGTCAGAAATTACATGATATATTTCAGAGTTTACGAATTTGTTGTCTATCTCCCCCACTTAGCACATGTGAACTCCTGAGAGCAGGAACCTAGACTGCTGGTGTCCAGCCCTAAGTCACCGTGATACTGAATGAATCAAACAAATGAAGTATCTCTTTTCATTTTTGTAGGGAAATATATATATATATATCCAAATAGTTTTATATATATATATATAAAAAATATATATATAATATATTATATATAATATATTATATAATATATATATAATATATTATATAATATATATATAACTATCCAAATAGTTTCTATAGTACAGTACTCTACAAAACATAAGAAATCTTTCCCCCCAAATTTTTGCTTGCAGCACTGAATTTAATTTTTCACCACAGAATGACAGGAAGAGGGAAAATCAACTATTCTAGTGGTATGGAAAACGAAGACACAGCCAATAGGAGGTCTCCCAAAGCCCCAATTTTAATAGGATTCCCACACATTTTACTTTCTCACCGTGAGTCTGGCGCTCCTTGTAAGTTGCTTCCTTTGTGCTTAAAAAAGTAGTTACTCCTGTTCTCAAAGCCAGCAAACATAGATTTTCTTTGGTTTTCACATGATCTGGCTCAAAACAGCAGGAAACATGAATGTTTCGTTTGGCGTCTTTCACTGTCTGAGAACAGAACTGCAAACAAGAGAGGAGTCTCCTCTTGCCCAGGTGGTCCTAGCGCTGGCGAGGACAGGCCAGAACCGTGTCCTCCACCATGCGGTCCGGGGACTGGAGGGAAGGTGAGGACCCTGGAGGCGTCCCTCGGAGGGCAGGCCTGAGCCTGGGTGTGCGAGCGTGGTGTTGCATGGTGTGAGGGCTTTGCTGGCCTCGCCTGTCTCTCCAAAGAGCCAAACAATGCCGGCTGTTCCTGGCAAGGCCGAGCCTGGCTTACTCAGATTTGTGTTTTAGGAGAGGTGCTTTGGGGTAACTGAACAGGCTCCATTTCCACCATGAGCACATCAGCCCTGGTTTCCGCTGTGCAAAAACAAAATTCTCAAAAATGTTACCGTATCAAATCGATGTGGCTTTTGTTTTATAAACAACTTTTTTTTTTTAGTCTGTGGAAACTGTAATAAAGACCAACACCATATCCAGTTGTTTTCCAGAGAACCGACTCCACTTGGGAGACTTTCTCTCAGCATGAGGGTCTGCTCTTTTTTTTCTAGCAGATATTCCTAAAATTTGACTCCGTGTGGTCAAGGGCATAGCAGTGGACCCTCAGCACCTCAGCTTGGAACCATGGGCTTCTTTCTGCTTCTGAAAGAGGGCTTCAGAGCCACTAATGGAGCACTGGTGGGAGACAGACAGTCAAGGAAGTGATCTCACAGAGGAGCTCAGTTCTGCTGGAGAAGGGGAAGACTCCCTTGTGAAGGAGGCCATGAATTTGGGGCCATGAATTTGGGGCCCACACATCCCACAGGCAATGAGAACACTTCACGAAGGCTGTGATATTCCGAGATGCCTGGAAGACTCCCTGAAGCTCATTGCTTCCAAATGCCTTCCTTCTTTCAGTACAATTTCATTGAAGACAATTAAGATGAAAGCTTACAACGGGACGTCACTGATTTTCCAACACAAAACAGGCAAGGGTGATAATATTAATGGAACAAATACGTTTTGGGAGAAAATTCTTATTATTTGCACACATTAAAATTCACAAAATAGAGTTGAGCACCAGAAACCTTTCCCTTGTGACTGACAAACCATGGGTTATCCGCAATAATCCACTGAGGATGGATCCCATCTAAAACCCACTCCAGTGGAGAATTGACTACTGAGGGAATGTGTGTAGTACATTTTCACTCCCAGATTTCATGAAGAAATGGTTAAAACTCAGCGCTTTTCAAATCTGGCTCTGTCACCTACTAGTCATGCCTCAAATCCCGCATCTATAAAATGGAGATAATAATATACTTATCTAAATGTTCTGTTATGAAAATTAAATGAGATAATCCGTGAAAGTCCTTGGCATAAGGTCTGACACTTGGTCAAGTGCTCAATAAAGGTTATTTGTAAAAATAGCTATTATAATAATCATAATTTATGACATTATTATTAAAATTAACATTTGTTTGTAATGATTCCTATCCATTTCATTCTATATTTTCTTCCATTTTTCACTGCCTTTTGAATTCAGAATGTCTGGTAACCTGCATATTAAGTGGTAAAATACAAAATAACTGTTCCTCAACACGAATTTCTCTGAAAAATACTGTAGGTTATGCTACAGATTCCTGTAAGAATTTTTCTAATTTGAATAGCAAAATAACACTAAAATCAGCATGCTTTTCTATCTAGACTATAAGCCCCTTTTTAGCATCTTCTTTACTATTCTCTCTTCAGCTCCTAGCACATGGGGCTGCTCAAAATATGTTTGTTGAGTAGATAAATGTTCTTTAGTCATACAAGAGAAACAACAACAACAATAAAAACAACTGCTTGAGTAGCCTCTACTTCTCTTCCATCTAACACTTTTCCAACAAAGAAATTTCCCTGGTTAGTATGGAAGTTCTAAGATAGAGGTGATCATGGGCAAAGGAAATTCTGTTCTTGTATTTCACTCTTCCTGGTGGTCTGTGTTAAAAATAAGGTCACTCTGAAGTGACAGAGTGGCATGGACATATATACACTACCAAATGTAAAATAGATAGTTAGTGGGAAGCAGCCACATAGCACAGGGAGATCAGCTCAGTGCTTTGTGACCACTTAAAGGGGTGGGATAGGGAGGGTGGGAGGGAGACACAAGAGGGAGGAGATATGGGGATATATGTATATGTATAGCTGATTCACTTTGCTATACAGCAGAAACTAACACACCATTGTAAAGCAATTATACTCCAATAAGGTCACTCTTAGGAAAAAGCTATCTGATTGCCTAGTGCCCCTCCTTTGATATGTCATTTGAAATACTGACATTATTTTCATAGTGTCTTTCTTAAATTAGGGTTGGAATTCTTTTCTCAGCATCATCCTTTTCTTTTCATCCATTCTAGGAAAGAGCTGTCATTGTCTCATGTAATTGGATAAGTGATTCTTCCTAACCTTGAAACAGCTAAGTAGAAAGTATACCCAGTGACCTTAAAATGGACAGCCCTTGCCTTTTCTAATTGGCATGTGTATTCTAGAACTCTTTGAACAATACTTTGAGTTCCTAAACCTTCTTAGAAAGGGGTGTGTGTGTGAGTTGTTGAAAGATGGGGAGTTGGTGATAGAGGGATCCACCTCCTTCATTTCTAGCTAAGTGACGGGGCTTCCACTTGGCCACAGGGAGAGAGCAACATGTTGGCACATATAACCATGGCCTGAATGCCAACATCCACTGGGAAATCTAGAAGCTGAGAAACAGAATGACTGGCCACTTTGATGGTGGAATCAGGAGAGGGCTGCTGAGCTGGGGAAAGTCCTGCACACCCTTAATTTGATGAGACAAGGGATGAGTATTTCCCATGGACCAGATGTGGGAAATGCTGAAGAGAGAGCTAAGCTCCAGACCTTTTAAGATCTGTCCAGTTGAACCTCCTGGGAGAAGGGACTCCAGCAAGTGTGAGTCCATGGAGAATGGCCCCTCTTGAGCCAGGGTCAGCAGATAGGAGAAACATCAAGCCAAAGGAAAATGTGCATTGAAGTTGCAGTTGGAAGGCCCAAATGGGAACTTCCAGAAAAGCCCTGGAAAACACTCCACTGGAGAAAGGGGTAGCTTTAAACATTTGTCAGGCCCAAGAGCATGAGGCCAGCCTATGATAGAACCAACTCAAATAAGGGTTTTCTTGACCTTTATCTCTTCTTCCCTCCCTTGCTAACAGACCATAAGAGTCAGAAATTGGATAGCAGGCTGGGGGTTAGGGAAAGGGAGAGCCAGGAGGAAGAAAAATGCAAGGCCTCACAGACCCTATACCCCCTTGCTCAGTATGACATATTTCATTTTTTGTTGGAACATGATCTGATTTACATTTTAGAAAAATTATTCCAGCTACCTTGTGGAGAAACGACAGAGAGACAATAGAGAGAACACAAAGACCAGATGCAGGCCTATTTCACTTGTCTGCAGGAGGCATAAGGATGACTTGGACCAGGGTAACCAAGTGGAAGTGTTGAGAAGTGATCGAATTCAGAATACATTTTAAATCTGCTAAGGACTTGATGCCTGTGAGGAAAAGAGAAGAGTTTTCTCTGACTACAACGTTTTTGACCTGAGCAATTCTTTGAGTGAATGAATCCATTACTGAGTGAATGAATGAATTGGGAGTCATTAAAGAGTTTTCAAGTAATCAGGTCAGATTTATATTTCAGAAACCTCACTCTAGTGAGGTTTAGTGAAGGATGGATTGGGGACTGAAAGCCAGGTGACTAATTGGAAGGCTATTGCAATAGTCCAGGGGAAAGGCATTGAGGTTCTGAGCTCAATGTCTAGGTAGTAGGTATAGAAAGGAAGGGATAGATCAGAGAAATATTTGGGATATTAAATTATTAAAGTGTGGTGATATGATAATTGTGAAGGAGGAGAAACATAATGGCTTCTAGATGCCTGGGTGAATAACAGTTCCACCCTAATGATGAAGAACATGGAAGAAAAAAGGTGTAAAGGAAGAAAAGAGAGGATAGATGTTATGATGGTTAATTTTGTCAACTTGATTGGGCTAAAGGATGTCCAGATAGCTGGTAAAACATTATTTCTGGGTGTTTCTGAGGGTGTTTCAGAAGAGACTAGCATTTGAATCCATAGACTGAGTAAAGAAAGGTTGCCCTCACCAAAGAGGATGGGCATCATCCAATCTTTTGAAGGCCTGAATAGAACAAAAAGGTTGAGGAAGGGTGAATTTTCCCTCTGCTTGAGCTGGGACATCCATCTTCTCCTGCCCTCAGACATCAGTGCTCTGGGTTCTCGGGCTTTTGGACTCAGACTGGGACTTACATCTTTGGCTCCCCTGGTTCTCAGGCCTTTGGGTTTGGCTGGAACTCCACCACTGGTTTTTCTGGACCTCCAGCTTGCAGACAGCAGATCATGGGGCTTCTTAGCTTCTATAATGAAGTGAGCTGATCCTTCATAATAAATCTCTTTCTATATTTATGTGTATGTGTGTGTGTGTATATATATATATATATATATATATATACATATACATACATATATATGACAGTTACTCTGTCTCATGCTGGAATAACACTAACAGATCATACACACTCTAGAGCTCCCTGTGGAATTGGCTGAGGTTTTGTCAGTCCTGCCATCACAGTTGGACTTCTCTCTCTGCCCAATTCTGCTTCCTCACCTGCCTGCCACAGGTGTTGATCCCTAATAAACATCCTGCATGTCAATCTCCATCTCACTCTCTGCTTCCAGAGAATCCAACCTGTGACAGTTGACACCAGGAGTGGTCCAAAAGAGTAGGTGATTATTGGGGTTTGGGAGCTGAATCACTTACTGGCTGACTGGCAAGAAGGACTCCACCATTGGTGATAGGTAGGAGACAGACAGACTCTGGCAGTGGGTGTTGACCCTGTTGTTCACAAGCTCCTGGATTGTGAATTGAAACGATGTATCAGAGGAGGGGATGGTATTAGCTGGTGTAATGCATTAGGCATTTGAGACGTATGGGGTAATTACTAATTATTAGGACAATGGGATTGGATACTTCTTGCTAAGTGTAATTGATACACTGGAAAAAGATAATGAAAAGCAATGAGAGATAAACAAGCAATTGCAAAACCAACTGTGAAAGCCAGAGGGGCTCCCTGGTAATATGATGAGGCTCTCATTTGCTACAGTAGGAGGACAGAGAAAGATGAGGCCTAGGCCCAGAACTTCATAGTCAAAGTGGCTGAATTCTAGAAAAGGTTAAATTACTAACCAAAGCATACATGTTATGCAGGGTTAGGGCCCTGGTTGGAAAAAAATTAAAACCTCACACTTGGGATTGTCTGACTGAATGCCCCTTCAAATTTTGAACTCCTAGACTCATCTGAACTCTCTCCATCTTGAGAAATGGTCCACTGTCCTTAGTAAGAATGAGAACTCCCCCATGCTTGAAGACAGTACAGAGAATTCTGCCCTGCAAGACAATAAGTGCCCCCTCAGGACTTTTGCCCACCTCCCCTCCTTGCCAGTAGGCCTATAACTAGGATTGGGTCACAGCAATGCAGCTGGACATGTACTAGATCTCATAAAGAAAGGAAGCAACTCTTCCCCAAAGGTGCAACAAGACATAACCGATATGTACAGCAGAAGCTGTGGAGTAGGTGTGGAGCTAGATTCTGAGGGTGCATGATCAAGGGGACTGGAACATAATATTGGATAAGGTTGAGTTTACTGATTCGGAAGCACTCTGCTAAAATACAAGATATAATACACTGATGAGGACTCCAAGAGATGATACAAACTCACTTCTAGGACAGCTCCTAAAAGTATTGGAAAAAGCAATGGGCCCCATTAACTGAAATCAAAATGTCAGAATTGCTTTTCCAGATGGTTGAGAAAGTTGTTTAAAAGGTTCACAGAAGTAGGCATGCTGGAATGGATATACTAAATAAGGCTAGAAGACTCACCAAATGGTTGTGCTCCAT